TTTCTTGTGGGTAAATACCAAGTAGAGGAATTGCTGGATCATATGGTATTTCTATTTTCAGCCTTCTGAGGAAGCGCCATATTGCTTTCCAGAGAGGTTGGACCATTTTGCAGTGCTACCAACAATGCAGGAGTGTCCAGTCTCTCCATATCCCCGCCAGCATTTATTGTCCCCTACTTCTTTGATCTTTGCTATTATTGCTGCCAGATGTGTTCTCATGGGTAGTTCACAAAGACTCGTAAGGAAGCAACTCCTGGAACCAAGTGCGTCCATGTCTACCACAGGTCTCCCAAGCACTGTCCTAAGCATTGAGAATACAGCAATCAACAAAACACACTACGTCAAAGCAAGATACTCATTCTCGTGCACGGTAAGAAGACAATTTTTAAACCCCCTAAATGAATGTATATCTGGTAGTGACAAAGACTAGGATGGAAAACTCATCATGATGGAGAGGCAGGTTTTGGTATGACAGAGGAAGACTGTAGTGTGGGATGATGTCTTGATGTTCACTATGATTGGCATGGACAGCAGCTCTGTAGTAAGGTAATGTTTAAGCAGAAACCCTAGGAAGTAGGAGAAAGAAGCCTGCCTACATCTGGGGAGAGTGGTTCCAGGCAAATGAAACAGCGAGTGCAAAGATGCTGAGGAACAACAAAGATGCCAATACACACAGAGGGGGTAAGCAGCAGAGAGAGGAAGGCGGTCAGCTTAGAAAGATCATGGAAAACCAGAACACGCAGAGCCTGTGGTCCAAGGTGAAGAATCATAGTGGCAACAGAAAAAAGAGATGGCTTTCAAGAAACACTCCTTCCACCGGTGTCCCGTGTGTGTTGTAGACAAGAAACCTTAATCCATGGAGGAGAAATGAATGGTACAAAATTGGATAGCTAAGTAGCAACCCTAGAGAAAGTCAGAATGAAGTTAAAAAAGAACAAAAAAACCCACACACCTTAATGGATCCATTAGGAGAATCTGGCTGCATGTAAGGGAATCTCTGCATTTAAGTTGGCTTCAACAAAAGGAAACTTTATTGTCTCATGTTACGGGAAGACCAGAGTCCAGAGTTTCTGGGTATACTTCCATAAGTGGCTCAATAATGAAATCAAGGACTCAGGTTTCTACCTTTCCATCAGCCATCCTCAGTGTATCAGCCAGGATTGGCTAGATAAAAAAGCTAAAAGTCAACTATAAAATTAGAAATATGTGTATCTGTGTTAGCATAAAGGTTATGAGCAGTATGTGTAATATATATGTTGTTGTTAAGTGCCGTCGAGTCGGTTCTGACCCATAGCGACCCTGAACAGGGTTTCCGAGGCTGTAAATCTTTAAGGGAGCAGAAAGCCTCATCTTTCTCCTGCGGAGCGACTAGTAGTTTCAAACTGCTGACCTTAAGGTTCGCAGCCTGATTCATAGCCACTACGCTACCAGAGCTCCTTATAATATATACCGAGAGTAAGAAAAAGCCACATCACACACACACACATATGCATATATAGATTTCTTTTTCCTAGTCTGTGGTGGGGGGCTGCAGTGTTCTTCTCACTATAGTCACTATGAACCCAGGTCAACGAAGCCACAACCGTATTGAACACTGTACTAGAAAAGGATGCTCTTGTGTGGCAGTGTAAGATAAACACTGGACTGCAATATGTTCTGAATTTCTGTGCTCATAAGTAAATTGTGGTGTCAACATCTCAGAGAATATTAAGTCAGCACTGGGGTTATTTAGTCCATCCCTTACTATAGTATACTGAGGTCAGTGGCTCATTCTCACCAGCCACTCCTTGGAAACCCTATACAGGGTCACTATGAGTCAGATCCAAGTTGATAGCAGTTAACAACAATGCTAGAAACAAAAAAAAATCCACTGTCATCCAGCAGATTCTGACTCATAGTGACCCTGTATATAGGGTTTCCAAGGCTCTAAATCTTTATGGGAACAGACAGCCTTATGTTTCTCTATGGCGCGCCAAGATGGGTTTGAACTGCCAACCTTGCAGTTAGCAGTCCAGTGTTTCTCCTACAGCACTGCCAGGGCTCCTTAATACTAACCCAAACTGGATCACACGTTCATTCTTAATCAATCACTGACAAGAAGAATGGGATTATTGTACGCTCTCAGTCCAAACAGGATCTACCTTCTAGAATAAGGGATTGGGTCAGTTTCCCTGAAAGCAAGTCATGGCTGTTCAGAATTGGTGTGAGTGTTGGAAACGATGATACTTCCTTGGCAGTTTTTTTAAAAATAAGACTCAAACACGCACACATACACACACACAATACTGTCAACAATGCGGGTATTGGAACCGGAAGGAGAAAGGGGTTGGCTATATAAAAGGTGAAACAGAAGGGCTGGATGTATCAGTAAGAAATACAGTGTACTATAGTAAGGAATAACCTCTAATATCCTCCCCAGTCCTGAGTTAATATTCTCTGAGATGTTGACACCACAATTTATTTATGAGCACAGAAGTTCAGAACATATTTTTAGGTGGCGGTGGTATGAGGAATAAAATGCATTCCTTGTACTCTGTACCATCTGATCAAATTTTGTTAAGAGTTCCAAGTGAGTAAGAAACTTCTACCCATTCCTAGGAAGTTCCCAGATATAGAAAGGCACTTCTGGAATAATGAAGGGAGGAGCAGCACTGGACTGTGAACCACAGATCGGCAGTTCAAACCCATCAACTCCTCCTCAGAACCAACTCGAAGGCACTTAAGAACAGTAACATTCAATGATGAAATAAATGGATGAATAAGACAATCCCTTTCCCTTAGTTAGTTCAGGCTCATAATGACCCTGTATAAGATTTCTGAGGAGTGGCTGATGGGTTTTGAACTGCTGACTTTGTGGTTCCAGCTGACCTTGCAGTCTGATGTTTTATCCTACAACGTTACACCAGGAATCCAAGCATAGTTGTTGTAGTATAGACTGGGCGCTATATAAATGTCTGTTGAACAGAGAAGTGCTAAGAAGAGGATGGCAGTTGAGATGAAGCTGAGGGGCTGGGTGGAAGAGCAGAAGAGGGAGGGAATGGGGAGACAGTAGCAAGTGGGGACTGCTAGGGGAGTCTGCACTCCTCATCCCCAGATAGGATGCCCTGGTGGCACAGTGGATAAAGCGTTAGACTGAGAACTGAAAGGTGGTGGTTTGAACTTACCGGGTGCTCTGTGGAAGAAAGCCGAGGAGGCTGACTGCTTCTGTAAAGATTTACAGTCTCAGAAACTCCACTGTTGTTAACTGCTGTTGAATCAGCCACACAGTATAGGAGTGGCAGGTGGATTTGAATCTCCTGGGACCTCGCGTTTAGCAGTCCAGTGCTGATCTGAGAGCACCACACCAGGACTCCCAGAAGCACCATGGTGCAGTTCTACTACAGGGTCGCTGTGAGCTCAGATTGCCTTGACAGCACTGGGTGGGTGTGAGTTTTGGCATACCAGTATCAGGTTCTCAGTCTTCTGCCTGCAATCTGGGTTCCAGCTCCAATTTACCCTTTCAGTGGCTACCGTACTCTGCATTTCCCAGATGAGGAGCTCCCTCCTGTTTGGGTCACACACAAAAAAGTAGCAATTAATAGACTGGCTGGGTACAATTATTTGTTGCTCCCACTCTGACAATCTTCCCTGTCCCTCAGCTGACTGACTACAAGCTAGGACACTGAAACAATTTTGTCTGTAGCCACCGCATAATTGTTGTCATTTCCGGATTCCCCTACCACCTTCTCAGGTACATACCAGAGCTGATTAATATTCCTGGAGGAGGGCTGTGGGGTGAAGTGGGGCTCCTTTCCACATGTCTGGCCATGGAACCACACAGGAACGCGCCTCTTCCCCATCAATTACAACAGCGGGTTTCAAAGCTGAGTCTCCACTATTGCTCAGACTACCTTCTACATTGGTCCTTGTTATTGTTAAGTGCCCTTGAGTTGCTTCTGACTGTATAGGGTTTCCAAGGAGCAGTTCGTGGGTTTGAACCACCGACCTTGTTGCTAGCAGTTCAGTGCTTATCCTACAGCGCCACACCAGGACACCAACTTGGCTCTAACTCTCTGGGAAAAAAAAAAAAAAAAAGTCCTAGAAAGAATGATGAGGTGCCACCCAGCGTTGGTGTTGTCAGTTGTTAGATGGCGGATGGGGAGGGGAGTGCCCAAGAAGAGATTGTAAAACTCGGATTCCTGGTTGCCCGACAAGTTCCGACCCTAGACTCTCGGTCTCAGTTTAGAAACCTGTAGCAATGGGTTTGACCTCTTCCCTCGACTACAAGCTTCGCCACTAGGGTGAGGCAAAGGCCTGCAAAAACTTCAACTTTCTCGGGCTCGAAGCCTGGGCTCAGAGCGAGGTGGGACCCACCACGAGGATTGGAGGGAGCCGTTTCGGGGAGATCCGGCCTAGGAGCGCGCCGGCTCCGGAGGGGACGCTTGGGTCCTGCGTCTGCCTCCCTCCTCACCTGCCAGGCTCGCGGTGATTGACGAACGGTTGTCTTGGGCTTTGGTGACTAGGCGCTCCAAGTGCAGCAAGAAGAAAAAGCACAGAGCCACGCTCCATCCCAGCCCCGAGCCCAGGCATTTTTAAACGTGGGCGGCGGTGAGCGCTGCCCTCCCTCCTCTGCCCCTCCCTCCCCTCGCGGCGCTCTCTTGTGTGCGAGCGAGAGTGTGTGTGTGTGTGTGTGTGGCTCCCTCGCTCCCTCTCGCACACGCTCCGGTACTAGTGCAGCGGCGAGCCGGCGGCTCTCAGCTCGCTCGCTCCGGCCGCTGCGCTCCCGTCCGCCGCCACCACCTCTGCAGTCACCGCCCGGCATGGTGAGTGAGTCCGCGCCCCCCGCCTCGCCGCCAGACCCCAGCCCGCTCCGTCCTGGGGAGCCATCCTGCGGCGGGAACGCGCGGTGGGGGACACCGGCTGCGGAGCGGTGCTCACAGAGGTTGCCCGTGAGCCCTCGGCTCTTCTCGCTGGGCCGGCCGGACCGCGTCTCCGCTTTCCTCCCGGCCCGGAGACTAGCTCCTCGAGGGCGGCGCGCTCCCTCCCGCCCGTCACCCGCCTTTGGGAGTGCTCAATGCCCCACCCCTGACCGGCTCTCCGTCTTGTCCCGCAGGACCCTCCCGGACGGAACCGCGCCGCCGCAGACGCCCAGAGCCGCGCTTCGGGGCCGGCCTGAAGCGAGCTGCGCCGGGACCGCCGCTGTTGCCGGCGGGGGATGGGGCTGCCCGGGAGGCTCGCCGAGCCCTCAAGGGGAGCGCAGAGCCCGCGCGCAGCGTGAG